AAGCCAAGTATAATGCAAGGATTGATTGCAGTGAGTTCCTCTCCAAATGAAGCTTCTTACCTAGTAGGTAATTAGGAAGTGAGCAGATGCTGGTATCGAGTGCTTTGAGTGCCTGAGAGAGGCAGTAATTGTTTTTTGTTGATTACATGGCCTTTTGACAGAAAAATGGGTCACTGCAGTAGTGACCACAGGCTGGGCTGAGAACCCCTTCCAGCACACACTGTATAGAAGTATAGGAACGTATGGGAGAAGTGAGAGGATATACAACTAAAAAAGCTTTATTTACAATGTATATACTGAAACTACGTCTTCTTGTATTTGTGTTGAAATGTTTCAGGTTTAATGGATAGTTTTTATAATAATAATGACTCAAATGACAATGTGGAAACAATATGATAGCAATGAACCTGCAGAGAATTATCACCTGAATCTGTGGCCCACCTCTGCTTTACAGAGCTTTATAGCAAGTTTCGGCTCATTGTTTAACTGCCCGGTCACTCACATCGCCACATAGCGTCGTTTTCAGGCCAGCAGGCAGCAGTTTTCAGTTGACACGCTTAAAAAAATCCACTCTATACTGGACACAGTTAGCGATTAGCTGGTGAACATAGTGGAGCATTTAGCAGCTAAAGAGTTAAAGATATTTAACAGAAATATCAAAAACAGAACTAAAAGAGAGTGAGCATTGCGCTTCATTAAGTGGCTAGAAATACAGCTCCGAATGTTGCATTTATAAATCTGTTTTAAAATCATGTGAGAACGTATCATAATGTCGCACACCGCTTTGTTGAGTACCATTGGGAGTATGAGTCTGGCATTATGGCCGTCACCATGTTGTTTTTTTCCAGTCAGCAGTGGAGTTCATTGGCTGAGGTAAAAAATTAAGTGAGATGTTAAGTGAGATGCAGGGTCATTTTCCCATGAGACTCAATACTATCAGGCTTCTTTTTTGCAGCTCATGGAGCTGCCCCCTGCTGGGCATTAGAAAGAAAGCAGGTTTAAGATACTCCCAGGTTGGTTTCACTTCACAGACCCAGAAGCTATGTCCTATAATTATATGTTTTATGTTAGTGTTGTGTTTATTTGTTTATGCTGCCCCAAGTGGCCAAAAATACAGCGTTATTTCCGGTTTAAACTGGCATTATGCAGCCTTTGAGGACAAAAATTATGCTATTCTTCCTCTTACAAATTAAGCGTTAAATCAATTATGGATTTAAAAAAATAAATAAATTCTGGCCACAATGACTGCCATTCAGAAAAACTTACATTGTCTTACTATTTATATGGTGCTTTTGTTTTTTCTGTCTCTATTGCCACATTTTCTTCCATGTCTTGATTGCTAGTTCAGGCTTTTAATGGTTGCAATGTGCTTCCTTTTAGATAATTATTGTCATAAATGAGCCATTACTTTTACGTCAAGATTTATTACAAATTATTAAAGATACTGCACAATGTTTCTTTTACGTTATTATTCAAATTACTGACAAAAAAAATCAATGCAGTATTTTTGGCTCAAATAAACCCCTTGTACAAGGAGCTCTTTATTTGCTTTCCAGTGATCTTAGCAAAACCTTATATTAAACCAGGAAATCTAAGTTACCCCTACAGATGCAGTGTGAGGTAACATTGTCCTGTAGAAGGACCCTTCAGTTTCTTTAGTGGCAGGAATCAATATGGTAGTTAAAGGGTGGTTTGCTTTTCTTGAATGCTGGCTCCATCTGCTGGTTATAAGCTTAATACTCCTTTCATTATGTGCTATTGAATTATGAGATCAGAACAAAGGTTGATGCCTGATCTCTTACAGCAAGCTGTCAATGAGAAATATATTAGGCATGTAATTATTAATGTGTTGACTGGGAGAAAAAGCTTTGCAGCTAGCAATGAATAGGTTTCCCACAAAGTTCTGTCTCTGTGACGTACTTTCAACGTCAACATAACAGCTAAAGCCTTAATTTACATTTAGTAATCGAGCAGATTAAGAGGTATAGCTCAAAGATAAACAGAGCTGCCCCGGGCTCTTTTACTACAGTTGAACTCTTCTTGGCTGCACTGCCTGTTGCCCTGACAACCTTATGTCACTGTGTCAGAGTTACGATATCTCTCTGTCTCAGCTTTGCTCATCTGTTCAGTTGATTACGTCTGCGCAGTGTCTCAATGATTCTTCTGACTGCAAAGAAAGAAGCTTTGAAAACTGTCTTATGTACAGTAATAGTTTTAGTAGCTGACATAAAGTCTGTAAAGGAGAGGAAATACTGGAAATGAATGGGTGGAAATGGAAATATTGAAATTATACGCCACCCACACACACATAAAACTATACTCTATAAACCATGGTTCAAATTTATTGATTTAGACACTTGTAGCCAAGCAGATAACAGCGCCGCTCTAGGGATACCAATGTTGGCCTATATGTTGGTTTACAGATATTACAATATCTCAACTACTATTAACTAACTATATGAAATTTGATGTAGGTTGGTGATCCCCTGACTTTTCCTCTAGTGCCATCATGAAATTGACATTTGTGGTTTTGAATGAATGTCTTAACAACTACTGGATGGATAGCCATAACATGTGGTACAAACACTGTTGTGTTCCCCTCAGGATGAATTCTGATTTCTGTTTGTTCAATACTTTGGCTAGTCACCTGGTTTTGCATACTTTGTATTAGCAAATTTTAACATGCTTACATGGTAAACATCATACCTGCTAAATAAGCAAGCTGACGTTAGCATTTAGCTCAAAGTAAAGTCAGGCCTAACCACACATGGCAGCTAGCATGGCTGTAGATATAATACATATAAATTACAATAATAAAAAAATGATAATGTTATTTTATAAAATAGTGCTGAAATGTGTGCTATAATGATGATTGTTGAATTAAACCAATATGTATGTACATAAATAAAAACTGAACACATGTTTATGAGACTTTGAAGAATATTTCACAGTACGGGACAATAAATATAGTTCTCTGCTAAAATAGTGTGTCGTTTTTGTACAGATTCTCAGTTTTACATTTTACAGTTTTGGGTCTGAGTGGAGCCTAATGATGTACCAGTGAATGTTTATAGATAATTAAAGTCAACAGAAAAATAGCACTACAAGATGCGGTGTGTGTATATGTTGGTGTGTATTTCTTCTTGACTTTGTCATGTTCATGTTTGTGTACCTGGTGGAGTAAGAGGCCCAGACAGTTTTACTGGAATGCCTGTCAGCGGGCAGCTGGCTTGTTAAATAGTCTCTAGAGATTTAGTTTCGCCCAGACATATGGCAGAAATGTTTCTTTGACTCAAACATGACAACAACAGTTTCATTACTTGTCCTTCAAACGGACCGGCTGAGTCATAATAATTATAATTTCTCACACATGCTTCTCTGCTGCTGGGAGAGAACAAAGGGCATTTGTATCCATTACAGTGTAAAGGCAGCTCACAAACTGTCTAATAGCAGTCACAAAATCATTTAAACTCAGCTAGTTTTAGGAGTATTTGATACACAAAGCAATGCAGAATCCAGAACAAGAGTTTTCGCAAAGGCTGAACTTTTCCCAGTCTTTAAAGTCTCCATCCATGGGAGGAGGAATATTCTGTGGAGAAACCACAGTTATGTAGTGAACTGGGCTGTGGCCTCCATCTTGCGGCAGATCCTCCCCCTCGTCTGGAAGCTGTTGAGTTCTTGTCCAGATGTGGCTGCTTGATCTTTTTAATGATACACTGCTGCTGGCAGAGAATAACAGAAATGGGGGTCAAAAAAACAACACAAACGAGTCTCCACGAGAAGCTGCTTCATTGTGTTCTTTTACTTTTGGCTATAATCTAAAATTAGGACTTCTACTTTCACTTAAGTAGATTTTAATGGTGTGTTGGACTTTTGGAGAAGCAAGAACTATAGTACCGGTGCACAATTATGCAATTATTGCACAATCAGGAGGATGTTCCAGTTTTGCTCTGAAGTTCTTTTCCCTATAAGGCAATCCCTGAGATTCTCAATCCAGAGACATGAAACAGAGAGACATTGTGTTAGTAAGAGGTATTCATACTGAGGTGTTTATAATCAGGATGCCACACAGGACAGCTACTTTTCTACTTTTACACAAGTAGTTTTCTTAAGCAACCTCTTTCAGTACGAAAGGAATAATAATGTCGATCTATCCCAAACATCAAACAAACATATGTTCTCTAAAAAAAAAATCGAAAAGTAAAGCAGGAATTTCCTCGATGAGACATCTGGGACTTGTAGGCTGATCCCCCTATTCCTCCTCCTCCTCTCACATTCACAGTTTGGAAAATGCCAGTTGCTTGAACAGCAGGTGTCTTTGACTTGGTCATCCTCCAGAGAGAACAGGTTGCACAGCTGTCTGGTACACACACACACACACGTACACACAAGCAAGGAAAGAGAGAGAAAGAGGCACTTAATGAAAGATAGCAAACAACTTCTTCACTCGGGTGAACTCTGGGCTCTTGTCGGACAGCTCTGGCAGGGAGATGCTCCCGCTGTGTCTTTTGTATGTGCAAGTGGAACAAACAAAAGCTTAGTGAGGAATCTCTGGGAAGCCCAAGCTGTCTGAAAGGAATGCCCCCTCTCTCTTGTGCCTCAATGCTTCAGTCTTAATCAGTTACCGGAGGGGCTGCTGGTAGAGCAGGCGGACAGGAACTCACTCACTCCTGACCCCTCTTGCCTCAATAAAATCTATTAGCTGAACACAAACCAGTAAAAGGATGGTCACTGATGCAGATAAATCAACCTAATTGGCCCCTGTTGGCCTTTTCATGGTCATACTGTCTTAAGTACTCATGTAATCTCTTTCTCAACCCAGGGGATGGCTGAATATACAAATGCAAGTCTTTTTTCAGCTTTTTATTTTTTTTTTAAAAAGTTTAAATCTATGACATATAAGAGAATACAGACAGAGGTTCTGAAGTAAAAGTGGAAGTTATTTTCAGTCCAGTAGAAATGGAGACATAAAGGGTGCGTGTTTCCCTCTAAGAAGGCGGAGTTTTCTCCCTGGGGTCCTGAGCCAAACTGGTGTTATGTAACGGATACTTCTCATCCTGATGTGGAGTTACCAGAAAGTTTACAGGCAGCGACTCAAGAACGGTCTGTGAACATGGAATATGCGATCACTTCACCGGTGCGTCTGTTGATCTGTAACGAAACATTTTTAAGGAAATTGGCCCTCATACTTGATTCTTAGCCAAAGAGCTGTCTTACAACCGTAAACCTGATTGAAAAGCCACCTTAAACGCTGCCATGGATCAAGTTTTTGTTGGTTAATGTTCAACTCTGGAAGCTTTCCATGTGCCTGAAGTGGAATCTGGAAATGGGACTTTGCGTTTAGATTTTTTGAAAGCAGCCACACTGACGGACATGGGCAGCGGTACAAGCAGAGGAAAGAAAGTTGCACCTGCGTGTGTCAGCGAGGTGAACGTGGCCAAAACAGCTGCCGGTGGCACTTCACCCAAGCAGGACAACAGTTCATTCAAGCCTCTCAAAATCCATACAGTTTTGCGCAACGCGCGTAACCGTGCGCAACCGGACTGCCACAGCGAGGGGCACGACTCTGACTTCTCCAGGGAGGACGATGACATCGACGGAGAGCTGGACACGGTTCTCGCGGATTATGAGGAGCGAGGGAGAGTTTCTGAGAAGAAAAATCCCCCCAAGAAGACTGTCATCAGGTCCAAAACATACGGACTGTGTCATTTTAGCCAGGAAGACGCCGAGGACGTCACCCCAGAGGAGCCACGTGGCTCACACGGTGGATCAGGACTTGTAAACAAGAGGAGCAATGATGCTTTCACACACTTTAAAAAACACACACCTGCGTGCCCCAGTCAGCACAGTGTAAGAGTTTGATCTTTCTATTAATTTGATTATTATTTAAAATGTATTTCTTACGAGTCCAACCCAATTTATTATATATAGAACATCATGGTTTTAAATTAACAATGAATCTTGAAAATTGTTAAGTGCTGAGATAAAACACTTGATATCTCCTCTTCCTCTCTGTCAGTCCTCCTCTCAGGGCTTTTTGACAAGAGGGGCTTTGTTGGAAGCTGTTCCCACATCAGAAAAACAATCGTAAGTAGACAACTCTGATAAATAATTTATTTCTGAGCTCAGTGGAGTAGTAAAAGCCGAGGAGGGCCAGATCAAATTCACTTTAAAGAGATCGAAATACCAACCCATTATTCTCAGGGCAGATCAGATTAGTCAGACGTCTGCAAGCAGGAGAGAAACAAACAAGTGTCTGTTGTTGCTTGTTTGTCGGAGGGAAGTGTGAAAACCGGAAGCACAACTAATACAAACATATTTCCATAACGCATATCAAGCACAAGAAGGCAGAATATAGTTAAGTTCATTATGTGATGCATTCAAAATAATGTATAATCTGGTGTGAAAATAATACATCAAAATATGGAGCATCACTCATTTTTCATTACCATGTTGTTGACATGTTTCTCCACTCTCCCCAGGACCTTTGGCAGCTGCCATAGCTCCTCTCTCACCATGCCAGTCATCCTGTACGATGGATCAGAAGAAGAGCTGATGGACACTATTGAGAGAGAGTTTAGTTGACCCCCAGCTGAGAGAGCTGCTGTCCTTTCCAGCTGTCTTACACAGCAGTTTGCAGAAGAACGTTTGGAAAGAGAAAGGGAACCAGGGTTTCTTTTGACAATTTCCTGCTACTAAGGGAGGCTACATTCACTGTATTTAAGCAGGTTTTTCCTGGATACATTTCACATTGTGTTCAACTGAAACTGCTGCACTGCAGGCCTTTGCATTTACCCAAGTCTTATTTAACAACATGAAGCAGTGTAATGGCAGGGTTATAACACCAACTTGAACAGATGCCAGGAGGTTTTCCTCACAGACCAGATCTGTACACTGACAGAAGCCTCCTTGGTTTGTTATCTGCAGTGGTAAGGTGTCACTGTCACCCCCTCAATGCTGCCAGTCTCCCACAAAGCACACACCTACAGTACTTATTTGTTACCTATTACTTTAACTTTAACTTGTCTGTTAATAGGTAAAGGAGAACACAAGAATATTTCTCTGGCTGCTGAAACTCAGCAGTTCACCCACATTCCAGCAGTAAAAGCAGATTCTTGCATGCTATATGCAAGGATAACATTTTCCTCCAGCAGTTTTGTGCGTGCGGCGCAGTATATAGTGTAAAGTATACTTTTAAGTGGCAACCCTGCATAGGTATGAGCTGGGGTTATTTGTTTAAGGTTTCCTTCCTGACCACAGTTCCTGCACTTCTCCACCCTTATGCAGGAATGTGTGGCAACAGAAACTTCCACTCAGGCTCAGTTTGGCCCAGCTGCGTTTCTGCTGATGACAAGATTCAGCCACATTCAAACATAAAGGCCTACTGCCACTTAGTGGTGGAACACAGTAGTTGTGTTGGAGGAACACACACTTTAACGTCTTATGTGAATACATTGTGTCTGCGCTGTTTAACGAAAGGTGGATTTCAACCAGAAATGTAGAGGTTGGGTTTTGTAATTTTGTTTTATATTGCAAATAAAAATGGACAATTGCTGTATTTCTGACCATGTGTTAAGTTTCTGGGAGTAAATATGTGTGTGTGTGTTTACCTTATATATAATTAAAATACCCATCTACTCTGATAATCCACATCATGCAAAAATGGTTCGGTGTGCCATTTAATCATCACAGGAACATTATTTCAGCAGGCAGACTGTACAAAACAAACACATCAGTAAAACAATATAATATGACACATATTTTGCACAATATATTTAAAAAATAAAAACCCACAGTGTGGCTGTGACGCTCACACTGGGAGTACAGTACTTTTGGTATAATGTAATGTTTTTGGCAATTAAGACATTCTTTTAACTAATATTTTTGCTTCTTTGAAGGCCTGTAGAAAGACATCCTCCTCTGTACTGCTGTCTGTAGTTTGGGAGGCAGGAGAGGAAGCTGGTTTCTGAGCACTTCATAGTTCTTCACATTCTTTGCAATGTAATCCTCACAAATCCTGTCAAAAGAAAAATGGAAAAAGATTACATAGTTAAAATAAATAAACCTAGAAAGATAAAGTGGCCTAGAAAGAAACTGACCTTTGTAACAGCAGATATTTTTACTTGCCATAACAAGTAATGTAGCCATCATTAATTAATGTTATTAATTTCAACTGTGTTTGACAAGTCTGTTGTGTAAAGGTCTACTTCTGCTATAAAACTACTTGAGTTTTCTTTCTGTGGTTCTTTCTGTAAAAGGAACTCTTACAGATTGATAAAATACAACATGTTTTTACCTGAACAGAGGATATGGCTGCATCTGGAAAACAAGTGCATCATTGCAGTGACCCTGAAAAGAAATGTGTAAAATTAATAAGTATATATTCACCACAGTACTTTCTCTCACAAATGTGCATCCTACGTTCCATTTTTCTCAATGTTTTGATCACAGTATCAACTGTGTATACATGGACAAACTGGTAGATTTTTACTGTGATGTAATTTATGATTAACATGAAATTCTGTTGAATATCTCGCAGGTTCTCCACACATAGTTACAGAATTGTGTCTGTAGCCATATTTCCATCTAAATGTATCGCAAACTTTAACCGAATTTCGGGTAATTCAGCAAAAGAAAATGTGAATTAATGCTTGTTTCCATCTGCTACCATTGTGCGAATATTAGAAGTAAGTTCACGAGATAAGCTAAGATGATAAGATGATGTAATAAAAAGAGAGTTAGTAAAACCTCAAACAGTGAAAAACAACGCAGAAAACACAAGAGAAATATGACATTTCTGTTTGTTTCACGATTTAACGCGAGGAAGGTTGCATCCGATGTGTGTTGAGCGATTATATGTATTATACAGCGATACTACAAAATACATTGATGGAAACATCATTTATGTTAACGTGAATTTAGGAGGTAAGTGTCTCTGTGATACTTACGGTGTCGACCAGGAGGATGTAGTCACAACTTCCACCAAACACAATCACATCAGAGTCTTTGCCTGGACACGCTGTGTGCCACAACCTTGGACAGGAGAGAGGATGCTATTTAAAATCTGCTCACAATTTAAAGTAGCACGCTGTACAAAGTAATAAATGTAAAACCTGTAACTTTTTGTTGCTACCTTGGCTTATTTTTAAAGGGATGCTCAACTTCTCTCCATTTCTTTGTGTCAACATCAAGCAGCCACCCATCACCTGATTGAGGGAATTTAAAAGAAAACACTTAGAGAACATAAAATTACCGAAGGAACAAGGGAAAATAAAAGTGAAGAAGTAGATACACTTTCTTACTCATTGGTTTGCAGTCTACACTGAGACCTCCAAACAGGAACATGGAGCTGTCTGACACTGCTGTGAGTGTATGCCACGACCTACCCACTGGAGTGGTGGACACTGGAATTCTGGAAAACATATTTTGCACAGTGCTGTCAAAGAGAAACCTGACAGAAGATGTTAAATGTCAATGCTAATGTGGAACATTTATTTGAATGCTGGCCCAGCTTTAGTGTCTCTGATGTTTTGCTGAAACACGACTGACAGTAATTTCTACATATTTTAAGACTGCCAACATACATTTCCGACCACGTCCACGATTCAAAGTCCAGGCAGTGGATGTCACTCGTCCTGGTTTCCTGCATTTAGAAGAAAAGGAGCACAAGCTACCAATGGCAGACCTTGTTGATAACGCCGACTCATGAATTCTGATACATGAGAAGAAATGAAAAGCATGTAGATCTCTCACCATGACTCTGCCTCCACAAATGTATCCTCTGCATCCGATTGTGGCACTAGCATGGGCAGCCCGGGGTGCTGGAGCACGGCCCTGCAGACAAAAACAGTCATTGGAAAATCGTCTGAGGATCATATACAGATACTGCAATACTGCTAAACTTCAACTCTTAAAGGTTGAGGTCGATGACAAGTGCACACAGACAGAGAGGGGGGACAGCTCAACCTCTTGTAGCTACGGTGCCATGTGCAGAGAGTGGCAACAGTGGAGAGAAGCAAGGAAGGAAATGAGAGAAAGGAGAGAGAGACAGAGTGACAGCAGGAGCAGACAGCTCCTTTGTGAGCAGGTGAAACTATCCTTGTTCTTGATATTTCCTTTTACTGTTTCTACTTTCAGTGAGAGGACCACAAAATCATCCTCATTGCGTCCCATATTGTAAATTTCACAACTAATAGAAAAATAAAATGCATCAAACTCAGTGTGCTAGGTTTTAAAATTTTAATTGATTAAAAAAACAAGTACAGACTTGGTGTGCAAAGGACTTAAATCACTTACTTGAGTTTGTGGTTCACTCCAACTAGATTGCATGGGGTTGAATACATGAACCTCATTGTTCCATCCCCAGAAGACATCCTCCACCTAAAAACAACAAGATAGCTAAAAAGGAGCAAAAACACAAATTTCTACACAAACTGACTGAAACACACAACTTCAGACTACCAAATATGTGTGTGTCACTGATGTGTTTTTAAAAACATTTTTAATACAGCACAGTTGAGATACCATACTTCTGACAGATTTATAGTCAATAAAATACGTTACCCATGATGCTTCATCTACAATGAAGCTTTTGTTCCTGCTGTCGACATCAGTCAGTAATTTGTGACCATATCCTCCGAAGTACATGAGCCTGGAGAGTATCAAACAAATCACAATTCCTAACAAAAATGCAAGTGCCTATTATGGATTTAATTGGTAATGGAGTGACTAAAATTAGCTTATTTTCATTTCACCATATACTTAAGACCTATACTCTAGAACAGATGTAAAGCCTAATTGTTGTAGGAACTCAAGATAGGTTGTGTTTCTGTTTACAGATGGATTTTTTTTCATAAGAGAAGCTAAAGAACAAAATACCATCTGGACGTTAGTCGTTGCAACTTCAAATGGCAAAAGAACAGCAGAGAATGCCAGCAAGAGCATGGGAAAATTACGACTTACAATTTACTAAAACAAAGAGAGTCAAAATAAACCCAAAAAAGAAAAGTCAAATAAAATGAATAGAAAGTTCGCATCCGATCCCAGTTTGGTACAGGCTGTCCACACACTGAAATTAAATAGCTCAAAATTTGTGCTGACAACCTCTGTTTTTCTTTTATCAAAATAAACTGTAACAATGAAACAGTACTTATTCAACTAAAAAAACATGGAGAAAAATACACGCTGGAAATTGCAGTCCGATAAAAGTCACATTTCCACAGTGCTTACCTTCCATTGTAAACCCAGCAGGACAGTTTGTCTCGGGGTGAGGGAGCAGACCCAACCTCATGTATGATCTTCCTCCACGTGTATTTACCGTCTGTCAGGTTGACACAATAGATCTGTTTGAAGTCAAACACTGATCACTTCTTCATGTCAACTTTGTTCAGTCTAAGCTGTGACCACACTGATCTATTGTGTCCATTCATTCATATTTGTTCATTAAACTGTTTTTCAATGAGGAACCTCCATCTGTGGAACACCACACTGCTACGATGTCAATATATTGTACATTTTAAAAACAAACTAAACAGCTCACACCCTCACAAGAGATTTTACACATACATTGATGATAAAACCATTATTTAACCACACATAATGTGAGAGTTTATGTGAATGAAACGATAATCAAGCCTCACCTGATTGGTCTGTCCATTGTCATCACAACCTCCAAATATGTACAAGTGACCATTCAAGCAGCAGCCGCAGGTCCCAGACATTGAGGGAGGGACTTCTCCTGTCATGTGAAACACTTCCCTTAAAGAAAAAGTAAAAAAAATGTTGTTAAACTACTCATTCGTTTATATCCACACATTTTAAAGAGTGCAGTAAGCTCCAGGCAAGTGCTCAGATAAATGTGACACGACTCGACTGTGTCAAAAGAGTCTGACAGTCCCCAGAATCTGAATCTGTTATCTATGAGAAAACATGCATATTTTGAATTGATTTAATATTCTTACCATACACCTCGTTCTAAGTCATAAACCCAGATTTCATCATTGGGTAGGAAAACTTCATCATCAGCAATTGACTGTAGAGAATACAACATGTCTATTACAATGGAATAAAAATGTGTAGTAGCACAGCGTCTCGAGTCTGTCATTATTACTGAATTATTATCATTACTGAACGATCACAAACTCAAAAGCAGGTCAGCAAAATTCTGAAAATGTGCTAATTCTGTCAATCCAAACGTTTTAGGAAGGCCAGCAATAACTTAACAATTATACAGTTATAAAAATAAGATGAAGCATTTCAGCATGCTATTATTTAGGCAGGTTTTATTTATTTAACAGTATGTATTTGTTACACATTTTTCCTCATCTGCTTTTGTATTGGTACTGTATAAGCTGGTAGATAATCAGATCCTTTATTTGAGTAAAAGTATTAATACCACATTGTAATAATACTCAAGTTCTACATTTAAAAGAACAGCGGTATTATCTGCAGGATGTACTTAAAGTATCAGAAGTACTCGTTATGTATAATGGTTTAAGTGTTATATTATTTTATATTAATACTGTGTATATATATTCTATAACTGTTTTATTATTAATGATGTATTATTAGTATTCTACATGTAAGCAGCATCTTAATGTCGTAGCTGATTGTTTGATATATTTTTGGTAGTTTTATGTTTAACCATATGTTTTGATTGGATGTGTCAGATAAATGTAGTTGAATGTTAGTATAGAGTAGCAAAAACTGGAAATATTCAAGTACAAGTACCTCTGATTACTTAAGGTAGTAGTTAGTAGTACATTGTTTGAGTAAATGTACTTATTTCTTGTGGTTCAATGTAAGAAAGTACATTAACTCAAATTTGAGGTAGGTACTCATACCAGTATTGTTCTTATCTATACTTTATTTGTTCCTTACCAATTTAAGACTTTATAAAATATAATGTTTTGTTATTTTAAAGTGAAATCTATTTAAATCTGATTTTAATCTTTGATCTATCACTAATCAATCATAACAATTGTGAGGATTTGCTGATTTTTACATTCAATTATTTTAATTATCTTCATTTATTTTTAATAATTTTGAGGTTTGGACTGTTGGTTGAACAATACGAGCATTGTGAAAGTGTCACTTTGGGTTCTGGGTAATTGTTTACAACCCAAACAATCAATCAATTAATATATAAAATAATCAGCAGATTGATCCATAATGAAAACAATCATTAGTGCCAGAAGAGTTAAAGGTTAGCTCGACCTTGACCAACTACAACAGTAAAATCATAGCTTTCACATTAATGTATGAGTAATAAAACCCTTATGATATAATAAATGAATGTCTTACTTTTACTGTTGATATTTCATATTACACTTACATAATTGTACTTGAAATTGATTTAAAATGTACTTTTCAGAAAGAGGATTTTCGCGGTATTAGTGCTTTTACTTAAGTACAGGATCTGAATACCTGTGGTTGTCTCCCTTACAGTACAAGACGTTGAAACTGGCCTTAAACAAACTGGACACTGGTGATGTTTGGTGATGTGTGTTTGTTTTTCTCACCATGTAACCTCCCCACACATACAGCAGACTGTCCTCCACCACAGCCGTGTGTCCGCTCCTCTCCCGGGCCACCAGCTCCGAGCAGTGCCTCTCAAACGCTGAATCCATGGCTGTGCTGCTATTAATAGAAAAGGAAGAAGTCCCTTTGAGCCTAAAATTATCAAATATGTCTAAAAATGTCACATACTGTCACATTCCCGGCAGCAGCTAGGACTATTATTGGACACAGACAAGTGAGCAGAGCTGACACTAAACAGGTTTTTGAACACTGACATGCTGTTGTTTTTGGTTTAGGAGAAAACTGAGTGAATAATGTGACATTTCTACACATTTAGGAGGCTACGCAACGTTATATTTGGGGGGGGTAGGCAAGTAAAATAAATAATAAACGGGGGTCCACAATACGAAAACAGTTCACATTTAATCATACTCACGGGCTACAGTACACTTCCAGGTGTCGTGTGGTTTTTTCTCATGTTGTGAACACCAAAACACAGCTGACAGAAAAATAAATAGCTTCGATCTACAGTCAACGATCCAGCCCCAGAAACTGTGTGAGGAGAGCTTCAAAATAAGACACACTACTTCCGGTCCCTTTTCTCTTGTCAAAATAAAACCCCCGCTGACCACTATGTGGAGGACAAAGAGTAACTAACTGTTAGGTAATCAGGATACCATAAAATGGGTAACTGTAGTCCGTTACAGTTACATGACATAAAGTCGTAATCAGATTACAGTTAAATTGAGTGAAAATGGGCATTATTAGCAGGATTACAATTTTACAAATACACTGAGCAGAGGACAATTTATTATAGGAAACACTTACACTATATATTATTATGTTTATACATTTATTTATATTATATATATATTTCCTATTGACATTTCTTTCATCTTGTCTTTTTTTATTGTATATTTCATAGTGAGGTAATCATAAAGTAACTGAAAGTAATCCATACGTTACTTTTATATTGTGATACTTGGACTAGGTTACTGACTGCTTAAAGTAACCCTCTCAACCCTGTCAATAAGACATTATGAAATAAATAATTATAAAGGAATCATAGAAGAAATTAGGAATTTATATTATTATCTTATATATTATATTACATATTGAATCTTGATTATTCTCACAGTAACTCATTTCCATTTTATGATCTTGATTTTGTGTTAAAAGACTGTGTTTAAAAAAAGTGGCATTAAGAAACAAAACAGTCCATGGAAAAATCTGTAAAGATATATCTTGGAAAATTATAATTTGAATTAATGATTGTTTGAGTTAAGTAAAGATGATCTGCAATAAAATCTGTGAGAATAACCATGATGAAATCAACTTTCATTAATGAGTTTCAATGTTTTGTCGTTATTACATGGTCATTTATTTTATGTCTTATTTGTTAATTTAATATTGAACACTTTGGGTCTCCATTAAATGACCACTGCATCAGTGTAATACATTTTGCTTTGTGCCAAATGAGCAAAGGTGGAAAGCATTTTTTGTAGCATTTTCCACCAGTAGTTTACTGTCTACGGTTATAGTTTTCATTAAATGGCAACCCTGCAAAAGCTTTTAGCTGGGATTCCTTTTTGAAGGTTCACTTTTACACTACAGTGTCTCCAGTTTATTGAACAGGGAACGTGTGGGAACAGAGTCCTCAAATTGACCCAAATACTTTTCAACTGATGACAAGTTTTCAGTCACGTTTAAACACAGACACTCACTGCCACGTAGTGACAATAATTGTGTACATGCAGGCATACAGTACTTAGACATGCATGTGACATATGTATTGACAAGCTACACGTTGTGTTATAGTTTGACCTGCATTTCAACCAGAAATGTAGAGGAAGACTTTTGAACATTTTATATTGCAAATACTGTAAAAATGCTAATTTGTCTTATTTTTTCTAATGGTAAATTAGTGTATATTTTTGCCACTGTAGCATTGCTTAATGTACACTGATAATGTTTAGTCTAAAAATGAAAATCAGACAAAAACTTTTCCATGTGCCATTATTTAATCATCACAGTCAACACAGTAACTGCAGCCGATTTAAGTTTCATGGGTCAGAAGACTCAAAATAAAATATGTATAAAGTGTGTAATATGCAAATGTAAAAAAAACAAGTACATATAAAACCATAAAACATTTTTCACAGTATATTAAAAAAACAAAAATGCCATTTCACAACAATGATGAGGTCTTGTGCTTGGTAGCCTATTAAAGGACTGTGTTTAACTAATGCTGTTTCGCCTGTAGAAAGACATCCTCCTCTGTACTGCTGTCACAAATTTGGGAGGCAGGAGCAGAAGCTGATGTCTGAGCACTTCGCAGTTCTTCACATTCTTTGCAATATAATTCTCACAAATCCTGTCAGAGGAAAAAGTCTGTTATTCTCTTATTTCTATTTTGGGTAAAGACATTGAAAATATATGTATTTTTGTAAAGTTTTACCTGTATAGAGAATATGGCTGCATCTGGAAAATGGGTGCATCATTAAAATGACCCTAAAGAGAAACAAAGGAGAACATGTGTGAGACTTCTGTTATTTTTCTAAGATCTTTAGACAACACTATGAGTTGTTTTTTCCAAAGATATTAATTATATGGTCCCTTAGCCTTCATACGGATTCAAAAATCCCCTCAGTCATTGGAACAGGGACGCTGCACAGCAGCTCTCAGGAGGCCAATTATTTCCCATTTCTTTTTTTATTGAATTTGTTTTGTGGAAGGGTTTGAGGTTCATTATTAGCACACACAACTCTCTAGTGTCTCTCTGCGATACCTACTGTGAGGATATTAGGAATGTAGTCACAACTTCCACCAAACACAATCACATCGGAGTCTTTGCCTTGACATGCTGTGTGCCACAACCTTAAACAGGAGAAAAGATGCAGGACTAAGTGCAAACACAAACAATTCATTGTCACAAAAAAATTACAACCAGCAATGTTTGATTGCACAATCTGCTAATAATCATGCTTTGCTACCTTGGCTTAGTCTTAAAGGTATGCTCTTTCCATTTCTTTGTTTGAACATCAAACAACCACCCATCATCTGATGGAAGAAAAATGTGTTTTTACTGAGAGGAAACATTTCAAGGAACTTACAAATATATCAGGGTACATTTTCTTACTCATTGGTTTGCAGTCTACATTGAGACCTCCAAACAGGAACAAGGAGCTGTCTGACACTGCTGTGAGTGTATGCCATGATCTGCCCACTGGAGTGGTGGACACTGGGATTCTGGAAAGCATATTTTGCACAAGCTTTTCAAGGACAAACAAGTTAAAAGCTTAGGACACTTTAAATATTAAAAATAATGTTGTCGAAGCATATTTGTATCTTACAGAACTGCACAAGTACTATCTGAATGAAGGCATAGTCTATGCTGGTCCGACTCCTCTGTCTGTGCTGTCTTTGCATGTTTTTTTGTCTCTCTTCACTTTGTCTATCATGTAAACCTAAAGAAAAAAACTAATAAAATACAGGATAGAGGCACAAACGTCAACATGATTCAAGACTGTCATTGGTCACAATCACAAAACATACATTTCTGACCACGTCCATGATTCAAGGTCCAGGCAGTGAATGTCACTCATCCTGGTTCCCTGGATTTAAAAGATAAGGAAGACAAGTAATAAATGGCAATGACTGTGTGCAGATAAGAAAGAAGAACTGAAAAGCACGTAGAGCTCTCACCATAACTCTGCCTCCACAAATGTATCCTCTACAACCAAGTGTGGCGCTGGCTTGGGTGGCACGCGGAGTGGGAGTACAGCCCTGCACACAGAAACTGTCACTGTAAAATCTTTAGAGACATTTAAAGTGTTTCTACATTCTTCTTTATAAGTTGTCCAAAACATATGAATAAATATAATTAACCTAAATGTATGCAGGCCACTCTATTCAGTGTAGTCGAGTGTTTAACTGACTCACATGTGTTTGTGGTTCACTCCAACTGGCGTGCACAGGGTCAAATACATGAACCTCGTTGTTCCATCCCCAGACAACGTCCTCTAACTGAAAATAGAACAAAACAAGAAAGCTTTACGGGTGCATTAACAGGATTCAAAACAACAAAATGTAATATAAAAGCGAAACTCTATGATCTAAAAGAAAAAAAGAACATAGAATACCCCACACAGTCTTTTTTTTTTTTTGGTAGGACAGTATGTTTGACTTGGTGTAAGCCTGAGACTGGTTTAGTATAGTCTGTAAAAATATTACCCATGATGCTTCATCTATAATGAAGTTTTTGTTCCTGCTGTCGATATCCTCTAGTGGTTTTTCACCATATCCTCCAAAGTAGATGATCCTGGAGAATAATAAAGAAATCTATTTTAGATTTAATGTTAGATGTTATGTTTCAGTGGCTCAAGTTCTCTAAAAAATTAGCAACTAATTAACTTACAAAAAAACTATTGACAGACAATTAAGATGGGGTTTTGGGGCGTCTGGGCTTCCAGGCCTCACAAATATGGCTTTATTTAGTAAAACAAATAAATATAGATGCAGAATATATGATAACCAGAAACAGTGGACAGTTTAAATATACATACATCCTCATAGACATAACTTACCTTCCTTTATGAACCCAGCAGGACAGTTTGTCCCGATGTGAGGGAGCAGAACCGATCTTATGTTTAATACTCATCCACGTGTATTTACCGTCTGTCAGGTTGACACAATAGATCTGTTTAAAGTAGAACATTGATCACTTCTTCATGTCAACTTTGCTCAGACTAAGATGTGAGCCTTTTTTGAGATGCATTGTCTCTATATGTCCTTTTTCAAATGTTTTTTTTTTGCATGGGGCTCACAATTCATCTGTCTATGTCAATTCAAAGACATAAAAGTTCAGGAGCTGTTCATCTGAGGTAAGTTTATAGAGCCATCCTTGCTGCTCAATATGAATGTTTAAAAAGAGACCATTCAGTCCATTCAGTGATGAGCTATGTGCCCACAACATTAAATCTGTGACATCTACCAAAGCCATGTAGTGTATGTAAGTGTCAGTGTAATCACTATTGTGCTCAGATATCAGCCTCACCTGATTGCTTTGTCCAATTTTATTGTAACCTCCAAATATGTACATGTGTCCATTCAGCGAGCAGCCGCAGGTCCCGGACATTGAGGGAGGTTTTTCGCCTGCCATCTGAAACACGTCCCTTCAAAAAAAGTTTTTAAAAAATGTGGTAAAACTACTCCAAGTCCACTAATGACATAGCTTGCGGCAACAGGACAGAAGGCAGTTCGGAGCAAGTGCTTATCATTCCTAACAACAACTCTGTTCATGAAAATGGAGATGAGAGATTGATGAAGATTGATTTGATGAGTTGAGATGTAATTATGATTGAGAGGAGAAAAAGAAATATACGTTGGCATATTTAAATTTAAAACTTTATTTTTTTATATTCTTACCATAAACCTCGCTCAAAGTCACACACCCAGATTTCATCACTGGGTAGATAGATGTCTTGACCATCAACTGCCTTTAAAGAATACAACATGTTTGTTACTATGAAACACATAAATGCAGTGGTAGTACGTCTTGAATCTGTCATTGATCTTTCATCACTGACTAAAAAAAAAACACGTTTCACATATTGACTTAACTGCCAGATTTTTTAGGTACACCTAGATAAAGCTAATGTCTCTGTTGAATTGTTCTGCATTATATTGAGAAGTCTTAATATTTTGTCCACCAACACTTCCCTGTATAACACAATAAAATTCCCCAAAAATAACATCAAATTACTGCTAGCTCCACTATTTATGTACATATGCATATAATTCTCTCTAAAACAGTTTAAACAAAAATGAACATTAAGGCAGAATTTATTGGAGGGATGTTGTGTTAGACTGGGTAAAATTTTACATTGAGAGCCTCATAAACCAGAAACTGATTACATCTTAAAGACAGGTGTGCTTCAAAACACTAAAACACCCCTAATAAATCCAAAACCTGTGACTGACATTCTATTCATTGCAAGTATGTTTTAGAAAATACATTGCTAGTTAAGTGATTTAGAAATTGCAGTAAAGGAAAAAAATCTATTAAATTACATTGTAATATGAATAAAAAAAAACTATGCATTTAAGTAAAATGATGTAAGTGCCTTTATTCTTTTCAGCAGTTTATATATATATATAATACAGTTTTTTATATATTATAATATATATATAAAATACTAGTATTAAATAATATTATATATAATTTTTTATTATTATTATCTATTATATATGTTATATAATACACATTCATGTTACTAGATAGATAAATAAATAGATAGACCTACAGGTCATAGGATCTCGCCTTAAGTAAGCTGTAAAACATGCACATCTTCTTTTCATGTCCTTACCCTGAAGCCTCCCCACACGTACAGCAGGTTTTCCTCCACCACCGCTGTGTGTCCGCTCCTCTCTAAGGGAACCAGCTCCGAGCAGTGCTTCTCAAACGCTGAATCCATGGCTGTGCGTCTTTATTCTTAATATAGATTGTTTATTGTTGTTAGGCTAATAAACATGGGTATATGTATCACAATTTCGGTGGAATACAGGGCAAAGTAGAAGTAGAAAATACTCGACAGGATTTGTCAAAAGTTGTAAATAAATATTAGAACCAACCTAGCCTGTCCAACCGAGATAAAACCACAAATTATGAATGTTCTAAATGATATAATACCATATATTATAACTTGTAATTAAATATCTTTTAAAACACAACTGTGCAAAACATACTCACAGCCAACAACACATTTCCATGTTGTTAAATCCACAACATCATGTGCAGGTGACATAAACACATGCACAATGCAGAATGCTCCTTTATCCTAGTCGGATCCTTGTAGGTTGTTTTGACACAGGTGGGATCGTCCTGCCACAACAACTTCCGGTATTACTTTCTTATCAAAATAAAATTCCTTTAAATGACCAATGTGCCTATTCTTAAAATTGTTGTTATTTCCTGACATTGACTAGAGAAAATATTATTTAAATATCCTTAAACATTTTTAATAATTTAATTGAAAGCCATACACTCAAAATATATACATGTACATTTATAACATCGACATATTTTTTTAAATAAAACGAGGGACATATTGTATAGGGAATTTAATTAAAGCACGACACCAATAAACGTATAATTTATTTATAATGTATAAAACTGTGTGGGTCTGTGCTGGTTTCTTTATTTTCATCAGACAGAGGAGCGCGTATTCCTCAGCGGAAGTGATGAAATACATGCGGAAGTTGACATTTAGCGCCAAGTCTTGAGTTGGACAGTAACAACTATGGACGTTTCTCGCAAAATAAAGACAAAAGTGTCCGCTGGCTTCAAGATGCGGGGACTTATACTGCGACCGTATGTATTTTAATCACGTTTAAACGTCGTTAAAATGTGTTTGCTATTGTTGTAATGTTATTGTCATTCACACAGAAAGAGAGCTAAACAATACAGCTGTCACCTCAACGGCAGAGAGAGAGAGAGACTGTGGATACTTTCTGCTTCGTTTTATATTTTATTAGTGGCAACAGGAAATAAGCAGTGATAACATAATGCAGGCTGTGCTTTTGTGTAGATTTTAATGTTGTTGGTTTTATTCCACTGAAGCCAGGAGGTGCTGTGATACCTTTAATGGGCTTAAAGTTACAATTCACAATTTCATCAGAAACATCACCTGAACATGAACCTCAACTGCTTTCAATCATATAAGTTACACTGCAGCTGCTCCCTCAACCTCTTTAAATGCTTACACTTAAAATTAGGGTTGGCTTAAGTTTTAGAAGTTTCAATAGTTTCCAGTGAAATTTTTCACTTAAAGCAATCTAACACTTTCTTGAGAAAATTAAGCTGTTTTTTCTAGTTTCCTACCAGCAGTCGAGAGAAAGAAACAACATGTGCATATTTTCCTGTTGTTTTGTGCTCCAGTGAAGCCAGCAGATACCTTGTGGAAGTGCTGGAGTCTGTCACTCCCTCTGAGCTGGATGATGTTGTTGAAAAGGTGCTGGATGCAGTGGAAAAGCAACCACGTGAGTACAGCAGTACTCCCGTTAACTGCAGATCACAGTGTGATTGGTGCAGAATCTACTGTGTGCAGCATTTAATGTGTTTTCTGTAAGTGTGCTTACAGGTTTTGACCACAGTTTGTGTTTTCCAACAGTGTCCTCTAATATGATAGAGCTGTCTGTGGTGGAAATCGCTGTGCAGGATTGCACTCAGTCTTGTGATGAAACCATGTACGTGTTTTGATCAACTGATCAGTTTCTAAAATACTTAAAATATTGACAGACTTACATTATTACAGTTAACAGCATGTCACATTTGTAATACTATGCTCAGCAGATGTATTGTTAACGTATTAATTACTGTAATGATCAATACATGTTTAGAATTTGAAGAGATTAATGTTCTGTTAATTCATCACGATATTATCATTGTAGTTTTAAGGTGCAGCCAAGTGAATCTTGTGTTGTGGAATAAATTAAGTATTTCTTAAAATGCAAGTTATTTAGGAAATATAAAACAATAATCACACTAATAGCAATTAGGCCTCTTTAAAATGAACCAAAAAGTTAAAACATGTGTAGAAGTTGGCATTCATTGGCATAATAGCAGCTGGATTATAAAGAGTGTGGATAAGACTTAACTGACATTTACCTTGATGTGTAGATTAGGTTATTCAGGGCCTGCAGTCAAATCCTTGTTATACTGTAATAATACAAAAAATACACTATAAACTACCATTTTTACTTAATCAACCTACAATTAAATGCAGAAAATCTTACTAATAAGAGCTATTTAACTCTCTTCCAGAGATAATGTTTTCAACATCATTGGAGCTTTTGATGTACCCAGATACATTTACAGTGTGGAGCGGAAGAAATTTGTACCGTGAGTAAAGGGACAGTTTCTTTCTCCTTTGTGTCGAAATTAATCCAAAATAATTTTTAAAAGATTGCTTCAGTGTCACAGAATTACTGTATGTTTTCTACATGTGCTGCATACTCTGCTCTTGCTTGCAGGCAAAGTTTTTAAACGTTGTTATTTTGTTTTTTTCATTCAGCATTAGTATGACGAGCCATCCTGCCCCGAGTTTGTGTGGTTTGGCCAAAGACAAAGCTGAACTCTTCAGGGAGCGCTACACTATCTTACAGCAGGTCAGTGAACTCTGTTCATTATTGTATATCCAGACCGGGGAACTGACACACTCTCTGTGCTGCTATTTATGGTTATGTGTCACTTGCTGTTTTTTGTAGCGTATACATCGGCATGAGCTCTTCACCCCACCTGCAATAGGAGCTGTTGTTGACGAGGGTCAAAACAAATTTCAGGTAACAATCTTTAACCACTGTAATGACCACCATGTTAAGTACTTGTATGAGGAATATGCATTTGCGTTACAGGATGTTTTTGTGTGATTTGTCTTTTCTAGCTCAAGACAATTGAAGCACTGCTTGGTAGCACATCTAAACTGGGAGAGGTGATTGTACTGGGGATGGTCACACAACTGAAAGAGGTGAGTGAGTGAAGGAAAGCCATTAAATGTCTGTTTTTCAGTACATTGTATATTTACTATATCTAGTTTTTGAAACATTTTCTTAATTTCTTTAAGGGTAAATTTTACCTGGAGGATCCGAGTGGCACAGTACAGCTGGACATGTCCAAAGCAATATCCTTTCATATGTTTGTTCGTGGTCATGAACAAAAATGACTTTTATGTTACACAATATTTTGTCGCATGTATTCCTTAATTAGGTTTTTACCAGTTTCATAATGGCCTGTACACAGAATCCTGCTTTGTACTGGCAGAAGGTGAGATAACGATTACAACTACTACAACTGCAGTAAAGAAAATGAAAAAAATAAAAACGTACTTGCAATAAGATTATAACAGTATTATTAGAAGTACAGTTTTGCCCTTTGTCCTGTAGGTTGGTACGAGGACTCAGTTTTTCACGTCAATGGCTTCGGGTTTCCACCAACAGAGCCATCATCAGGCACAAGGTCAGTGGATTTAGAGAAGTGTTTTTTGGACAAAATTTTAAGTTAAAGCACATGTTGAAATTACAGCAAAGGTGAAGGAGAATCTAGTGTCACATCTGAGTTTTACTTTTTTGGTAGGAAGTAAAAATTAAGTAACATTAAGGCAAATACTGCATATTCTTTACTTAAGTGATGACGTGAGACATCTCTGCCTCATTTGCATTCATTCATTCATTTTTTCTAATTCGTTTTTAGTATCTTAGAGGTGAATCCTGCATTATCCTATGAGCTCCACAGATACTCTTCCTGCACCCTCACTGTGTGACCCTTGCTTTATTTCCAGGGCATACTACGGCAATATGAACTTCTTTGGTGGTCCGTCCACCACCTCGGTGAAGGCGTCAGCCAAGCTGAAGCAGCTGGAGGAGGAGAATGAGGATGCCATGTTTGTAATTGTTTCTGATGTGTGGCTGGACAGCGTTGAAGTGATGGAGAAGCTCAACCTCATGTTCTCAGGTCTGGCATTGCATCATGGTCTGAGACTTTATAGGTCATGAATCTGCACTTTATGAAACACCAATCATATTTAGCTCCACTTTGTTTTTTCCTACAGGCTATGCTTCAATGCCTCCTACCTGTTTTATTTTGTGTGGTAACTTCTCTTCTGCCCCGTATGGAAAAACACAGATCAAATCACTCAAAGGTGAGACTGCGTTCTCATCTCTCATAACACACTGTAGATTTTAAAGCCTTTGTGTATAACATGGGGATATATAGACAGCATTTCAGAATCTAATTCATTTTTGTCTTTTTAGAGTCATTGAAGGCTCTTGCCGATGCTATATGTGCATACCCCAGCATCCACAGCAGGTAGGATCTAATAGAGTTGCTCTGCTCTGTTCTTAACAGTTCAAATTTAAATGTGTTTTATTTAAACATGTTCATCTTACACCTGCAGTAGTCGTTTTGTGTTTGTTCCTGGCCCTGAAGACCCTGGTCCTGGCACCATCCTACCAAGGTATAAGTTCAGAGTCATCTGCTTTTTAACAGCATTATGTGAGTTCTGTTCAGTGTTTTGGACAAATGTCGATACATGTATTGCCCTCAGGCCTCCCTTGGCAGATCACATCACAGAGGAGTTCAGACAGAGGGTGCCATTTTCCGTGTTCACTACCAACCCATGCAGGTAAAACATATGAGGTTTTATTTAATGTCAAAATATTAGTTATTTAGAGTGACTTAGAGCTTTTGGTGTACACAAGGTTGATTTGTAGACATTTGTAACCAGACTTGTGACATTTTGGCATTATCTGCTAACACTAAAACACTTAAAGTGATCTTCCATGTTTTTCCTGTCAGGATTCAGTACTGCAGCCAGGAGATCGTCATTATCAGGGAAGACCTGGTGAATAAGATGTGCAGGAACTGTGTCCGGTTGCCCAATAACAATCTTGACATTCCAAACCATGTGAGTCTCAGCTTTTTTAACATATACTTCAGTGAAATTCCTCTCATCAAACACATAGTTAATATTAGTTATATTGTCTGATGTTTTATTTGCCTTAGTACATAGTGTTTAAAGTCATTCTTTCTACTGTAAGTGCTCCTTAAGCATTGAGTTGTTTCTGCAAAGATGTCCATAAATCCATAAATCTACCAAGCCTGGTCTCATTTCTGACAAAACACCATTTGAAATGTCCTTTATATTTTTGTAAATAAATGATCTTTGTCATATTCCTCTTCTTCTCCCCCAGTTTGTGAAGACCATCCTATCCCAGGGTCACTTGACTCCACTGCCTCTGTATGTCAGTCCTGTATTCTGGGCGTACGACTACTCCATGCGTGTCTACCCGGTCCCTGATGTCATCATCTTTGCGGACAAATACGACCCATTCAGCATCACAAACACAGACTGCCTCTGTGTCAACCCGGTAAGAATCAGTAGAAACTTAAGCAAGGCCTCTAAAAATGACTTAATTAGTTTTTTTTCCAGCTGGTCTTTGAAAGTAACTATAATTTATTTCCACAGGGCTCATTCCCAAGAAGTGGCTTCACATTTAAGGTGTACTACCCATCCAACAGAACTGTTGAGGACAGGTGGGATGTGTTCTTGAGGTTTCACTTTTCTCTCCACGTCTTTTACTACAGAAAACTGTAGTTTCAACCAACACTAATGTTCATACTAATCAGTTGTGGTTTTATGTGTTCACAGCAAACTTCAAGGACTCTAAAGGAAATCATGGATTTAGAAGTGGATGCGTTTCATTTTCTTTGTACTTCGCCTGTGTATGATAGTGTATGCTTAAAATGGATTAGCAATCATATGACTGTAGTCTTTTACTTTATATGTATCTGTATGTATGTTATGTCATGTCATGAATAATAAAGGTTTTATTCTTTATATGGAACATCCTGACATCTTTTTCAATTTTTTTTTATTGATCAAATTTCAAAGGTTACATTACATTGTACACTGAAGTGTGTATTTAAATTGATCACATTACAAAATTATAATTTTACATTACTGGGGGTAGTATGGAAGCCTATTTATGCCAATGTGACTGGAAGAAAATTATTTTGTAAATCATGGAATGGAAATACTGACTTAGCATCTCAAAATATTGAGAAACTTTCTCGGAATTCAGACTCAGTATCTCAAAATAATGACTTAATATCTCAAAATAGAGACTTAATATCTCGAAAAGATTACCTAATATCTCGAAATAATGACTTAATATCTCAAAATAGAGAATTAATATCTCGAAAAGAAGATGATATCTTAAAATAATGACTTAGTATCTCGGAACAATGACAGTATATCAAAATAATGAAAGTTTCTCATTATAATGATTACAGAATCATTTTCTTTCTCAATCACATTGGCGGAAATGGTCTTACATAAGGGAAAACTTTAAAACCATATAACCGTAAACAGTATATACGCTGAGGCATTGACAGAACATAACGTTATATGCTGCTATGGTGACGGTGTACTCTGGTTTACGTCGACCTTACCAAGATGGCGAATTTAAGGAGACGCCCACTTCCGGTCGTGCCCCCCGAACGCTTGTGATGACCTCACTTACATGTCGTACTGCTTTTTGAAATTTGCAGAAAAACAAACGTCCGACAAGGTAAGAAACGACAGGTGCAAACAGATTCTCAACGAGAGCTGCAAACACATCAGCTGAACAGCTTCGACCGCAATGTGGCCGATATAATGTTTACAACCATTTCTGACACCAAGCCGTCGGAGCTTCGCTTGTTTCCACTGTTTAGTAGCTAGCGTTAACAGACGGCGGCAGACGGCACATTACCTGACGAACAGCTGTGAGATGCAAGAAATATATGTGTTAACTTGTAACCTGCAGTTAGATAAAAGCTGAGATAACCGCTAACATTGGTTTAGTAACCTAAATAGGTAAGCTAGCAAAGTAGGTCAGTGGCGCTAATCGTGCTGCCAGCTAACGCTATCTGGTCCGTGCGTTGCCCTGAAGTATTGTTAAACAAAGGGACGTGGACTATAAAGTGGAAGGTATATGTTAGACCTAACGTTAGTAAAAGAAACTACAATATGCCGATGTTATTGTGTCTTATTCTCTTTTTAACTAACCAGGTGGAAAAGCTCGCCTCTTACACCCAGTGTTATGAATGTGGGTCGTTTTTCTGTTATCCTATTTTATTATTAGGGGGGGTAAAAAAAACAACAATCAGTTAATCGAGTAATCCAATCAGCACTAACCCAGCTATCTTACATGATGTCTCTTTCTCTCGTTTCTTGCACCTGGCAGGAGACAAGAGAGACTGACATGGCAGAGAGAATGGCAGAGATGGAGGAAGAAGACATTGGGGACCTGCCAGCCGGAGAGGATGACAATGACTCAGACAGAGATGAAGGTGACAGGTTGTTTGCTTGGATGGTAAATGACGATATGGACGAGGACGAGGAGGGAGAAGAAGAAGAAGAAGAAGAAGATGATGATGATGATGATGTGGAGGATGAACAGCCCTTGGACACTGAAGCATCTGAATCGTTTGAGTTGGATTCTCCAGCTGAGCGCAGTGGTCATATAGCAGTGGTGGACAGAAACATCATGTATGTGTGGGGTGGATACAAGGTAAGGACTTAATTCAATTGTATTTTGCATGCGTATTTGTATGAATTTTCATTATATTCCTGATTTATTTCTCTCAGTCTGTATATTTATCTAAATCACATTTTATTCTCTCCGCACAAGAATGCTCAAAACCACGGATTCTTTGACTTGTACCTGCCGAGGAATGAGATCTGGACGTACAACATGGAGTCAGGAGTATGGTAATGGCTGTTACATTTAAGTTGCATATTGATACCATTGCCATTGTACATGTATGCCATTTGCACACAACGTAGACAAATATAAAATAAACCCCTGAATATCCACAGGACAAAGCACCTAGCCGGAGGTAACCTGCACACATCCATGTCTGGCAGCTGTGGGGTGTGTGTTGATGGGGTCCTCTACCTATTTGGAGGTCACCACGCCAGGGGAAACACAAACAGGGTACGGTGGTTTGCGTATTACATCGAGCAAAATTCTTTATCTCTTGTTATTTTCAAATGATTGCATCGTGTGAAAGACCTTGAGGTGGGTGAGCCTGCTGTTTCCAATGATCTCCTGTATTCTGCGCTGGGCTTTGCAGATTTACCGCCTGCCCCTGAGAGCTCCCAGCCTCGTTTGGGAGGAAATGAGGGATCTTAAAGGACTCCCTCCATCCTGCAAGGACAAGCTAGGTTGCTGGGTTCAGAAGAACAAGTAAGAGGTTACTTTTTTCTTTCTCTGTCTGGATTTTGATGTAAAGTGAACTTTTAAAATCCCTGGTATTTACGCAGTGTGCTTGGGAAAGTGGTAACAGACTAATCTTTATTGATAATAAGCTCCCAGATCCCCAGTGAACTTCAGTGAAAACAATAAAAGTCCATTTTTACCCGCAGACATAACAATGAAATGTGTCCAATGCCTCAAAGTGAGTTTTGTCTGATATTGTTTCCACAGACTTATATTCTTTGGTGGCTACGGCTATGCTGCACAAGGACCTCACCAAGGGACTTTTGAATATGATGAATCATCTTCACTTGTGGTCTGTAAACAAAAAATCTTCACATGCTAAAACACTGACTTCAAGTTTTAAAGTCTAATCAGTGTCACAGTTTATTTCCTATAATGTTTTATAACATTTACATAAAAAAATAAACGTTTTTTGCTGCTGCAGTGGGACAGCCCTGGGCGAGGCTGGAACAATCACATCCATATCCTGGACCTGGAGACCTCTACATGGAGCCAACCCATCACGACGGTAAACACGTGTCCAATAGCAAACAATAGCTTCAACTTCTTCAACTTTTCTGCCAAACTGCCATACTTTTTTTTCCAGAAATACTCTGACTCAAACAACTCTGAAAAATATTTGACATTATCTATTTTCTCTGTGATGTAGGGGAACACTCCATCACCCAGAGCAGCTCATGCCTGTGCCACAGTGGGTAACAGAGGCTATGTGTTCGGGGGACGATACAAAGTAAGAAAAATAAAACGAAGAATGCAAGATGTGTGTCGGTTTTAGCCTCTTTGT